CATGAAATGAATATACCGCTACCTGATTTTAAGGAAGAACCGTGCTGATGGTGAACCATTTGTTTAAAACTGCCAAATTGGGCGCCCACGCACGGAATGCAAATACAAAGGCCAAGATTAATGAGCATGTATATTTTTGGAGGAATTTTTTCTCACTACTGAAAACAAACAACGCGTAACAGACGCCACCCCCCCCCCTCACGGTTCATAGAACCAAGAGATGCAAGGAAAAAATAAACAACGAGTAATTTCGGAAAAGTCGATACTATGCGGAAACGATAGGAAAACAACGCTCAATTAGCGAGGGAGAGTTTGCGTTTTCTGCCAAAAATAAATTCCACTCTCGATCGCCTTCACCTCATCGTGCAAAGGGGAAAAATCAATGCAATCTGTCTGTCTGCTAATTTGTTGTAAACAGCAGAACCCGTTTGTTGATGGGCGGGAGTACATTAAGCGAAACAACGAAATGCTACTCATTTAGGAGGTGCTTATCGGAATTGGCAGATAGATTTCATCCAACGCTCGTAAAATACACACGCCTAGAACGGATAGAGTAAACAAATTGAACCATTTGCAATTCGGGACCAAACGAAACTAACTGAAGCGGAACTGATCTGTTTGTAGATATTCTCTAGGGAGTAGTTGTTTTCGTCTCTAAGTACTTTTTTTTTCGAGATAAGTGGCGAAAGGTTTCGGTGGTGTTGATTTTTTTCGGGTTCTTCCTTCAACTGGAACGATGAGAGGTGATATTGAACGAAACGGTTCGAATTAGATTTATATATTGTATGTTATCAAGTGATAATAGTATTTAGGTTGTGAGAAGCATGAACATATTAAACGAATATTTAAACATTATGGATATGAGTTTTAGATGATCCGAAATTTCCAGAACGACCACCTTATAGATGATAACGAAACTATTGACTAAAACGGATGGCAATTCAAAGTGTCACGAGATCTATTTTTTCTAAATGGCTATTGATAAGCTTCGCAGATACTGGAGCATGTGTATTAGAGTCACGTCAAGCGAAAAACAGTGGAACTCGCATCACGGGTTTTGAAAGATGCCCTTCTCTTTCACTTGGCAACAGAAAGATTTTGCATCAACTTTATATGACTTTTAGCGAGAAAACAAATTAGCGGCTGTAGTAAATCGTTAAATCAATGATTTTGTCGAATTATCATAACTGCAAATATTACAAATTCGCATTACTGCGCATTACCAAATGTATCCCATGGCACTTTAAAGCTCACTGCGTGTTTCTTCTCTTCTTGCTTATTGCTATGCGCATATTAGCATAATAAGTGCTCTCAACTTAGTGTTCTAAATGCACTTTAACAGTTATTAATTGAGAGCTTTCGATGCCAAAACCAATGCACGAATTTGTATATTGTGTGGCAAGCACAATGATACTCTATGCCCAGGGAAGTCGAGAAAATGTCCAACCACTGAATCAAGCTAAGAGGGTATAGAATCACAGTAGTTGGTTGTCAGGATAAGTTCAATTGTTTACATCATGGCTTCACCGAAGCAAGCACGTCGCAATTCAATCCTGCACGCTCGAAACAAAAATCACAGTCCATCCGCTCCTGGCTGTTTTTGATCAAATTCCTGGGCAATTATTTTATACCTCAGTTGGCCGAAAGAGTGCCTCGGTAGAATTTAAAATCAAAGAATGCGAAATTTCTCAAAAAGTCCCTTGTCTGGCAAGCAATCTGCAGTTGATGGCTGAAAAGCGAAACTTTCGTTACTTCTGGGACCATGAACCAGCAAATTTACCTATATGAGTGCCTACGGAGAAGACTACTGCCTTTTCTGGAGCAGCATAAGATGGATTACAATAAGCATAATTCCTACTAATGTATAGCTGTTACATTGAACTATGAAAAATAAAACGCGTTTATAAACACCAACAAGATTTTCGTGTTAGGATTTTTTCGTGTTCAACCTTTAGAAGGTATCCCAGTCAAAATTATTAAATTCCCTTATAACACAGCTAGGATCAACATTTTTGTAACCACGGTAGAAAAAGCAATTATCTGATTATTTTACGTCAAGGTCAATAGACGCGAAAACAAAATCATGATGTGAACTATTCGGTACGCTAATTTGGGCAAATCTTAGCATTCTGTTTTGATTGTTCGAAATCGCGAGATCCGACTGTGAAGAGCCGCCGATCAACGCGAGGATGTGCAAGTTGAGGATTAAGGGCCGTTTCTTCAACTACAGCAACGTGCACTGCCCACACGAAGGGACACCAGACGACGAAAAAGAAGAGTTTCCCAGGACTACGCGCAGCAGCTGGAAGTTGCACTACCCATGGAAGAGCAGCTTGGCGCAGCTTCTCTTGAAGTTGGCTGGAGGGACATCCGTTCCGCCATAGGTAGTACTGCTGCAGCGGCACTAGGTACTGCAATCCCGGACCGAAAAAAAGACTGGTTTGACGGCGAATGCAAACTGTTAGTAGAGGAGAAGAATGCAGCACGGGCGAGAATGCTGCAACAACGCACGAGATTGAATGTGGAGCGATACAGACAAAACTCGGTTTTCCGTAGGAAGAAGCGTCAGCAGGAAGACCGAGATCGCGAGGCGATGGAAAATCTGTACCGTATAAACGACACACGGAAGTTCTACGAGAAACTAAATAGTTCGCGCAAAGGCTACGTGCCGCAAGCCGATATGTGCAAGGACTTGGACGGTAACCTTCTCACGAACGATTGAGAGGTGATTGAGAGGTGGAAGCAGTACTATGACGAGCACCTCAACGGTGAAGTAGCAGAAAACGAAGGTGGCACGGCAACAGACCTTGGAGCACGCGCAGAAGACGACAGGCTACCGGCCCCTGATCTTCAAGAAGTTGAGGAGGAGATCAGTCGGCTGAAGAACAACAAAGCAACTGGTGTAGATCAACTACCAAGTGAGCTATTAAAATACGGTGGTGAAGCACTAGCTAGAGCGCTGTACTGGGTAATTGCCAAGATTTGGGAGGAGGAGATATTACCGGAGGAGTGGATGGAAGGTGTCGTATGCCCAATCTACAAAAAGGGCGACAAGTGGGATTGCTGCAACTACCGCGTGATCACACTGCTGAGCGCCACCTACAAGGTACTCTCCCAAATTCTATGCCACCGCCTGTCACCATTTGCAAGAGCGTTCGTGGGGCAATACCAGGCGGTATTCATGGGTGCCTGCGCTACCACGGACCGAATCATTTGTTCATCGATTTCAAATCCGCATACGACACAATCGATCGAGATTAGCTATGGAAGATTATGCACGAGTACGGATTTCCGGATAAACTGACGTGATTGGTCAAGGCGACGATGGATCGAGTGATGTGCGTTGTTCGAGTATCGGGGACACTCTCGAGTCCCTTTGAATCTCGAAGGGGGTTACGGCAAGGTGATGGACTTTCGTGTCTGCTATTCAACATCGCGTTAGAAGGTGTGATCAGAAGAGCTGGGATAGACACGAGTGGCACGATCTTCAGGAAGTCCATCCAGCTCCTTGGCTTCGCCAATTACATTGACATCATTGCACGGAACTTTGAGACGATGGCGGAAACGTACATCAGAGACTGAAGGCTGAAGTTAGGCGGATTGGACTTGCAATCAACGCATCGAAGACAGAATACATGAAAGGAAGAGGTTCTAGGGAAGACAATGTTAGCCTCCCACCTGGAGTTCAGATTGACGGTGACGAAATCGAGGTGGTCGATGAGTTCGTGTATTTGGCTCACTGGTGACGGCCGAAAATGATACCAGCAGAGAAATTCGTAGACCCATAATGGCTGGGAATCGTGCCTACTTTGGATTACTTTGTGCGGCGACGAAGTGACGACAATTGCATCCGAGTTGTCGATGTGCGGACAAAAGCGAGACGGTTGTGCCAACCAATCTGGCCCTTTCCACCAGACTGAACAGTCACGCAGTTGTGCTGGAGACATCCCTCTAAAAATCATGTCTGCGGGGTTCTCCGAACCTGGTACATGGGACCACATACCATTGGCTGTAATTCGCTGTATTTCCGAACACCGGTTAGCAACGAAAGGTTTCCAGCGCGATGGGTTAGCAGCTATTTGGTATAGAGTGATCTCCGAATCTGTCCAGAAGAAGTTTTTGGCCTTGAGTTTCAAACTGGAATCGACCTTTTCGAACAGGTGGCTCAATAAAAGAGCACCACATAGTTCAAGACGAGGGAGAGTGATGATTCCACCCTTTTTCGATTTCCCCTTCGGCGCAATCTTGGATTTGGCGGTAAGCAGGTTAACATGGATGCTACCAGTGGACGATATTGCACGGAGATATACGCAAGCTCCATACGCTCTTTCCGACGCGTCAGAAAACCCATGAACCTCAAGACACGCAACTCCCGACGTTTCTATGACCCATCGAGGAAATTTCAGGTCTGGTAAATGACACAAACTGTCTCGAAGTTCTATCCACAAACGTTGACGATATTCGGTAAGTGGCTCCTTCCACTCACAACTTTCTCGCCATAGATCTTGAAGGAACAATTTTGCTTGAACCAACACCGGTCCGACCAAACCTAGAGGATCAAACAAGCGGGCGATGTCCGAGAGCACAGTTTGCTTGGTAATCGGTGCATGTGTGTTGAATTTTGGAATATGAAACTGTAATACATCCGTTGAGGCGTCCCATTGAAGCCCTAGTGCCTTTATGGGAGCAGTAGCCGAATCGAGTTCGAAAAGTGTAGCAGAATTGTTCGAGGCCCACTTGCGAAGAAGTAGACCAGCGGAATTAGTAAGCTCGATTAGTTCCTCGCAGAGGTTTTGACCTTCCTCAACACTATCGGTGCCGGTGAGCATGTCATCCATGTAAAAGTCACGACCAAGAACTAAAGCTGCAGCTGGATGACTCTCTGATCCATCTTCAGAAAGTTGCTTGAGACATCTTGTCGCGAGGTACGGAGCCGAAGATGTCCCGTATGTCACCGTTGTGAGTTGGAAAGTTTGCAGTGGAAGCGACGGAGAATCCCTCTATCGGATGCGGAGCAGTGGTTGCTCGGACTCCCGTACAAGGAATTGCCGATACATTTTTTCAAAGTCGGCTATGATGACGAACTGCGGTATGCGAAATCTAAGAACAATGCTTAAAAGATCGTCCTGGACAACCGGACCAACCAACAGTGCCTCGTTGAGAGAATGACCACTATCAGTTGGGCAAGAGGCATCAAAAACCACACGCAATTTAGTGGTCATACTATCTGGTTTAATGATGCAATGGTGAGGCAAGTAGTAGGTGGCACCCGAACTAGGAAGTGAGTCATCTATTAGCTTCATATGGCCTAACTGTTCGTACTCATGTATGAACGCAGAGTATGCCTCCTTTAGCGCTGGACTAGCGTTGAGCCGGCGTTCCAAGGAGTAGAACCGACGATCGGCAATATCCCTTGAATTCCCAAGTATCGAGATTAATGCAGGTTTAGTTGGAAGGGCGACGATAAAACGACCAGATGAATCCCTTTTCGTCGTTTGTTTGAAATATTCCTCGCACTCCGCTTCTTCGATGGAATACGTACTCTTGATGTTGCAAGACTCTACTTCCCAGAACCGAGCCAGCTGATCCTCGATTGATGGTTTATTCGAAACGTGTGCGACATTAGCGACTAGTGTAGAAGGTACCTGCGTCTGACTCTTCCCTGAAACTACCCAACCCAGGGCGGTCTTCTGCAAAATTGGTGCTCCGGTACTGGGTTTGATCTGACCGTTACGAAGAAGGTCGTAGAAGATGTCAACGCCGAAAATCAAATCGATGGGACCTGGTTTGTTGAAAGTCGGATCCGCCAATACAATATCGGATGGCCAACTGGATCTGGAGACGGCAACATGTTGATTCGGCAATTCTAGTGTCAGCTTCGGAAGTACGTGGAATTTCCAATTCTCCTCAAAATCAGCACGATGAGACTGGATGCGAATGATGGTGGTGTGTTTAGATGAGGTAGTCGAAAGGCCAACACCGCTAATTGGAACGAATTCTTTGCTGCGACGTAGTTTCAACCTTTGTGCGAGATGCTCCGAAACAAAGTTGAGCTGTGATCCGGAATCCAGCAGTGCGCGAGCCCATATGAGGGAACCAGACGAAGTGAAGACCTTCACAAGAGCTGTCGACAACAATACAGTTGCAGGAACGCTGAGTTGAGCTTCGGCGAAGGGTATCGAAAAGTGGCTTGTTTGGGGGGTAGGGACCGCGGTGGCTTGGGTTTGATTTTCTACTGGTCGAGACTGGTTCTTCGGTGGAGCAGACGATGTATGGTGGTTTTGAGTTGAGGATGATGATGAGGGTGAATCCGATGACGAAGAATTGGTGGAGGATTGGACCGATTGAGTATTTGGGGCGAAAGTTCTTTGGTGCAGCATCGTATGGTGTCTCTGTTGGCATACCCGGCAGGTTCCACTCGTACAAGCTTTGACGAGATGCGAAGGCGACAGACAGTTGATGCAAAGAGCGTTCCTTTTGGTGGCATCAAACCGCTGCGTAGGAGTCATTTTTCGAAAGACTTCGCATTGGTATGGTGAATGAGCAGAGTGCTTGCAAAAAGAGCAGGATTTCTGAGCTGTCACTGCAGAATGCACCACATTTTGCTTGGAAGTTAACGAGGTGGGACGCTGTGAGGAGGATCGAGACGCATCTGACGATCGAGATTTAGACGTATCGACTGATTGCAGCACGAGACTATGACTACGTAGAAATTCTACGAGTTCAGTGTATGTAGGCACCACCGTTGACCTTCTGTGCGTCTCCCAGTGACGCAGTGTGGCTGGATCTAGCCGAGAGCTGAGCATGAAGACCAATAACGTGCTCCAATTCTCCGGCTGTTCTCCCGCTTTCTCTAGCATCCTCAAATTACGTTCGAAAGCATCGATCAGACGATTCAAAGCTTCATGACATTCCCTTTTTATTGGATCGATGATAAAGAGGGCTTCGACATACGATTTAACAATTAAATATTTATTCTCATATCGCTTTTCAAGGAGTTCCCATGCAACAATGTAATTATCTGACGTAACTTCTATCACTTCGACCACACGCTTTGCATCCTTCGACAGAGATGATAGAAGGTAAGAAAATTTGTCTACGTCACTGAGTTGGGGGTTTGAGTCGATAAGTGACCGAAATGAATCACGGAACGATGGCCATTCTCTAATAGTCCCATCGAAAATAGGGAGTTTGATCTCAGGTAGCTTTACCCGACTCTGAGGGATATTCACAGGGGCAGGTTGCCTCATTTCAATATCATGAGCGCAAATCTTGGACATAATGAAGCCCTTAATTCTCAAATACGTGAGCTAAAATGCCGCACGAGCACTTCTATTTGCTTGTTCCACAGACTGTGACTGAACTTCCTTCCCTTCCTTTGCTTGCTCTAGTGCGTCTGATTCCAACTTTTGCTTCAATGAAGATTGGAAATCTTCAGATACTTCTAACTGCAACCTAGTCTCCTTGTAATCCTCAAAAATCTCGTGTAAGCGTTCCTGCCAGCCTTCAAGCATATTCCTATCTCTATGCTCTTGATAGTTATCCACCAGATATGCCAAATTCTTCAACGAATCTTGACAGAAACTCTCACTCTTCGTTAACTTCTTTACATTAGGTGGCATAATGACTCTTGCTTGCACTAGAACAAACCAGGAAACTCGTGTGAAACACGTGTGCACCAACTCCAGTCAAATTGCAAAAATCTCCCGAATTCGAACCAAGTAGATCATGCAAAAGTGATGAAAAATTTGATGATGCAGAAAACCTCAGCTAAGTTGAAGTTCCTGACGATCGGTCTTATGTAGCATGCAGATAGTACTACTTACAGTGATCGGTGGTGAACCCAAGCCACGCCAAGCGGTGATACCTACGCCAATCTGCGGCAGTGGTACCCAAGCCACGCTATCGTAATCCAACGACAATAGCACTCGAGAACAATACTTCCTTGTCGTCAATAGCACCTCCTAGTAAAGCGACGATTCTTCGTTGGCGGGTTATTACACAATCAGCAACTGTTAGCACCAACCACTTTCTCACAGCAGCCACATCGATTTATTCTTCTCACTTTAGCCACGCAATGTTAGTGTTCGATTAAGGGTTTCTTTTCTCGATCAGTTCACAGTTTTTGTCACAAACCGGTAGAAATCACCGAACCGACGACAACGAACTCGCAAGCACAAATTCCAAAAGCGAATATCCGGTTCGAAGGACCAAATTTTATGTAGAATATTTCGAATTTGGATAGATGTGCTTCGATTTTTGGGCGAAAGAACGACACTTTATTTCTGAGCTCCACTGAGTATACTCGCTGATATTCAGATGTGATGCCATAGGATGTTTATTGGCAACTTAACTTCAAACTCTACTGCTATCGGGTTTTATTGATCTGCGGGAAGATGGTCAAAGTAGTAATGTGCGATAACGATCGGCTCATAGATCGGAAACTGCGATGGTCTGATAAGGGATGCATGAGCAAAAGCGAGATGACTACTGATAATAAATTCGAGCAGTCTTAACCTTCCATAAATTACGCTACGCGGTAACATGCCGGCCACCGTGAAAATGCAATTTTAACTCATTCAATTATTTCTAATTTACTACAGACCTGTTAAGTAAGCTAAGCCTTTATCAGTCTACCCTAATCTATTAACTACGTATTCAATTCAGCTTCTTTCCAATTCTAACTATTTAATTTTCCGTTTCTTCGACTTCTGACGTCACAGTAGAGGGTCTTCCTTTTCTATGTGATAATCTTCTTACTTCTTCTTCTCCGTTGACTCGGCTGCGTTCGCTGCTCGGTTGATGTATACACTCCTTCACGTGCTACCATGTGACTACTCGGCTGCCGGGTTCGGACGATCAGCTGATCGTTGTTGTGGTAGTTGACTTATCTGGACTTGTCTAGGTAGTTCGAATTCGTTCATCCTTCTCATGGTGCGAAGGGCTGGGTTGCCCTCGGGCTGACTCTTTATTCTGGGAATAAACATAGGCGGTTTTTTCAAACAATCAAAGAAAAAAAAAACAATTACTTAACTGGGACGGAGGCTACGCCAATCTGCGAATTCGTCGCAAATTCGTCGCCGCACAAAGTTGACTGTCTACAAGACGCTGATTAGACCGGTGGTCCTCTACGGCCACGAGACCTGGACTATGCTCGTGGAGGACCAACGCGCCCTTGGTGTTTTTGAACGGAAGGTGTTGCGTACCATCTACGGTGGAGTGCAGATGGATCATTATTTCCATCATTCGTTGAGTCACAGCGTTGAACCTGACTATTGGCCACGAAAAGGCTTGCCAATGCACATCAAAAATCGACTACATACATCCGAACATTTGTTTATCTAAAATCGATAGAAGACATTCCGCGCAACTACCATAAACCGGACTAGTTTATGTTGATCTTCGTCAAGCTTCGTCTACAATTTGGACCTCTACATCAACACATGTCAGGCAGCCTTCAGGTTCAATTGGCTAAACTTGGTGAGTTCGTTCCATTTTGTAAATTGTTATCTTTTCAAAACAGTAACGTTGGGAGATCACCTTTTTGTGGTGCGTTACTGTTACTGGTATAAGATCTACCACCGAACCCTAGTCGTGACAACTTCAAACTAGGGAATCGGGATTTTTCAGTAATCAAAGGATCACATTTTAGTCCTTGTTACTTGTTATGACTTGATAATAGTGATAAGACTCGGGTTGTGACCACCGCGCCGTTATTCATTTCTTTATTGTATATTTCAAATAATATTGTTAATGTTCATAGATTTCACATAATCCTTTCCCTTTGTCCTTCTCCTTTTTCTTTCCTTCTTCTTTTTTCAGAAAGCGAGCCATAAGTCATAAAAGGCTAGGATAAGAGTTAGTGTTCATGCCCCAACCGTCAGAAGAATATGGAGCATCACTTAACCTTTCTAGCTTTGATGCTTCCAACTTCCAACCAATCATATAATTACCAAAATCGGAACGTACGGTACGAGATGTCCACGTTTTATCCATTTATTGGATTCTGAAGCATCGTGTTTAAATCTTCGATTTAAAAGGGCCCGAAGTTTTCTGAATCATCTTGCCCCTTAAATGCTGCACAGTAGACCTGGCCGTTTTGATATGTGTAACGCATCTTCGATATGAAACATATATCAAATAGACAAGAAAAATGATGTAGGTATATATATCATTTTCCAGGATGCTTTCAAGAACTGGCTGTGTTGGTGTTAGATTAGATTAGATTAGATTAGTTATGATATTATTAATAAACCATCGCCAGTTTTGTCGATTCTACCGCTTCTAATATAGTTATATCCTTAAATCTGTTCCAGTTTGGAATATTTTTTTTGATTCAACCACGTTTCGCAGACACCAGCAATGTCTACTTATTAAATATTCAAAATTTGGCTTAGTTATTAATATTTACTCATGTTTCATGCACACATACTCTACATGTTCAAGCAGCAAAGAGCAAACTTTTTATTAACCAATGCGGCTCATAACTATGCCAGGTATGGACACATTCGCACGTACACAAGATTTATATTAGAGATTTTCTTAAGAACAAAATGAATATGAAGTGATGTAACAGCACATGCAAAAACAATTACTTTTGTTCCCTGCATAAACGCTCTTTTATCAAACAATTACAGTTACACAATTTTTGATTTTGAAAAGAATCGTATGAAATGTTAGCTAATACATAATTTTATTCAAAACAATAATTCAACAAGGCTTTATTACTTAGAACATATATGCATATAATGAATGTAAAAAGCATTTGTTTTTCTTTATTAAAGAGACTTTCAGCCTTGGGCTGGTTCGTCTCTGGAATGCAAAAAGCAGTGATATGAATTACACATTCGACCTACTAATTACGAACTCTAGCCACTATGTTTACGATAGTTGCGGTAGTGCATTATGTACACTTACACCATTACAGCATCAATGATAATCAATTCATTGAAACATAGAAAGGATAGAAAAAAGAAGAAGAAAAAAAAACTTACCGTATGGCCTTAAAAAATACGATACGTCAGACTTGTTTTGCTTTTGACGTTGGACTACGTCTTTGATGACTATACTGGGGTATAAATTGTGTAACGAAATAGCGTCAGGTTTTAAACACTTATAACTTGGCCATTTATGGACGGATTTCAATTCTTTTCACACCATTTGATTCAAAGTTGATGTAATATGTATTTGTTTTGAATATTATAACGGTTTATCTTTCGAAAACTATTGAAAAATGATCAAACTTTTTGGCCACAAACAACCAATTACGTGCTTACTTCCTATGACTATCGAGAGAACACAGAGAGCCGATCGTGAAGTTATAAAACAGCGTACCGTCGGTGTAGCCAGGAGGTAGAAAACTGCCCCTCTCGCCTATCTCTGCCGCAAAATTTTTTTTTTTAGATTCCATGTATCTAGAAAAAAGATTAAATTTAAGGATTAACTAGCTTTTGTCCACTTCTTTTTATGTTTATTGTCCTCATTTATTTGAGTTTCCAAATCAGATTGA